AAAAAAAAAAAAACAAAACACTAAAGAAGAACCCCCTCGTGATTCGTGCTTACTTTCAGTAATCCTATAATTTTCTTCTCAGATAATCGGTGAGTTTTCAGCTTTCTTGATTTCTTTTTGTGGGTTGCATTTTTTGTGTTAAAAATTGAATCTTTTTGTAGTTTTCTTTCTCATTTTGAGGTTTTTTGAGTTTAATACTTGTTTGTTTTTGTGAAATAGTTTTTTTGGCTTTTTGTTTTTTTTGTTGGGTTGCATTTTTTGGGTTAATTTGGAGTCTTTTTGTAGTTTCATTTCTAATTTTGAATGTTTTTGACTAGTTTAAACTTGTTTGTTTTTGTAAAGTAGTTTCCTTTTTTTTTTCTTTTCCCTTTTTGGGTTGAGATTTCTGTGTCAAAAATGGAATCTTTTTTAGTTTATTTCTGATTTTGAAGATTTTTGAGTTTATAGCTCTATGTTTTTTTTTTTGTAAAGTAATTTCCTTTTTTGGGTTCGTGTCTTCTTGTAGTATTTTTCTCTTTATATTTTTCTTGTTGTAATTGGATTTTATTTAATTTTTGTCTTTTGGGATGTTATAAATGTTTCTCTTCATGTTTTTTTTTTAAAAGGGGGCTTGATTTGGGTTTCGTTTGAATATACTTATGGAATAATTTTTGGTTTAACGGATAGTGATATTAAAGTTGCATAGATTATGGAAAGAAGAGGAGAAAGGAAAAAAAAAATTTGCCTTTTCTTTGCATACCAAGTTAAAAGATAAAGACTTTAAGATGGAAAATGAAATCTTGGAGTAGAAAGTAAAAGATTTATGCTTAGCTGCACCTAAAAGTCTAGGTATTTGTTGTTATACTTCCTTTTGATTGCTAGTCTGTAAAAGGTAAGAACAAACAGTGAATATGTACCATTTTCTTCAAAAATTTCAGAAACTATTAGTTATGGATCCGGCATAGTGTTTAAAGTAGTTAGATTTTTCATTGTGTCGACATTTTAATTCACATGCTGTTCTAACTTCTTTCTTTGTTGTATTGTTTATTATCCAGAATTAAATTGCTGGGGAATTTGATTTTCAGATCATTCTTGAAGATTCTCTTTTGATACCAGATATGGTTGCTGAATCTTGGTTTCGCAATTTCTGGAAAAATTGTAAAAAGTATGAGGGTGGTGGTAATCAAAAGGTGCTAGTCGGCGTTCTAGCATTTGAAGTTGCAAGCTTAATGTCTAAACTGGTTCATGTTTGGCAATCTCTGAGTGATAAGCAGGTTGCTAGATTGAGGGATGAGATAATGAACTCGGTTGGTATCAAAAAGCTAGTTTCGGACGATGATTCCTCTATTGCAAGGTTGATGTGTACAGAGTTGGTTGAAAACTTAGGACATGTGGCAATTGCTGTTTCTAGGCTTGCCAAAAAATGCAACGACCCTTTCTTGAAGAGTTTTGAGCAAGCCTTTAATGATCTGCTAAAAGTTGGTGCTGATCCGTACGGGTGGCAACTTTCGTGGAAGAAGATGGATAGGAAAGTTAAGAAGATGGAACGATTTATTGTGATTAATGCAAATTTATATCAAGAAATGGAGAATCTTTCTGATCTTGAACAGACATTGAAGAGATTGAAGGGAAATGATGATGCAGATAGCATTACTCTCGTTGAATACGAGAAGAAGCTTGCGTGGAAGCAGCAGGAGGTGAAGCATCTTAAGGATGTTTCTATTTGGAATAGGACTTATGATTATACAGTCCGTCTTCTGGCGAGATCCTTGTTTACTATATTTAGTAGGATCGGGCATGTGTTTGGAGTTGATCCTGCGGATGAGAGGACTAAAACATCAAGAGAACTAGATTCTGATCAAATCCATCGTAGCCACTCAGTTGCTTATGCCCAATCAACTGTTCACCCGTCTGAAACAGGCTTGACTAGATTTTCCTCAGAACCAGTAGAAAGTATCCTTTCCAAATCTGGGCCAATCTCGGGCACAAGAAACATTAACAATTCTTATTCAGGTCCCCTGAAAAGTTCAACTTCAACGGGAAGCCCGGTCCCTGGAAGACATTCTTCTGTTGGCTTCTATTCGGGTCCTCTGGGAAGGTCAACAACAAAATCTGGGCCGCTCCCTCTATTCAATAAATCCGGCATGAGGTGGTGGAAATCTCGTGATCGTTCAGGAAATTTACATGGAAAAGGTCCAAATCAAAAGCATTCTCGACTGACCTCTACAGGTCCGCTAAAAGGCTGCATGATGATCGGGAACGGTTCTCCTGTAGGTAATTGCTATCTAGATCCACAAGGATTTCATTCTGGTTTTCTCAGTGCAACGAAAGGAGCTAATGTAAATGGACATGTTGATGGCTATTCAACTTGCTCTTATCTGACAAGTTATAATGCGAAAAAAAGGTTGTTAAACGCTCCTCCGGAAACTCTTGGAGCTGCTGCCTTAGCACTGCATTATGCAAATGTCATTATCGTGATTGAGAAACTAGTGGCATCTCCTCACTTGATTGGACATGATGCAAGAGAAGACCTGTACAACATGCTACCGGTTAGTTTAAGAGGAGCCCTCAGGGCAAAACTAAAGCCATTCGCCAAGAGCTTGACGTCGTCCGTTTATGACACGGTTCTTGCTGGAGAATGGAATGAAGCAATGATGGGGATTCTAGAATGGCTCGCTCCGCTTGCTCATAACATGATAAGATGGCAATCCGAGCGGAGCTTTGAGCATCAGAACTTTGTTTCAAGAACGAATGTCCTGCTCGTACAAACCCTTTATTATGCAAATCAAGAGAAGACAGAATCAGCAATTACAGAGCTGCTCGTCGGTCTGAACTACATATGGAGGTACGGAAGGGAAGTGAATGCAAAAGCAATAGAGGAATGTGCTAGTGCTAGAATGATGTTTAATGATGATTACTTGGATGAGTGATTTTGGCTTTGAACGGTTGGAGTTTAGAAACCGGCCAATGGCAAAATGCTTCTCTTCAGAAGCAAATCACAAGACGTCTCCGCCTGGTTTTTCTCAGTTTCTGCTGATTCGAGCTACTCTGGGGATCATATTCCATGAGATTCTTTATTCGTTAAAAGGGCGACGACTACTGCTGGAATGCAACTTTAAGCTTCTAAACATTTTTTCAGGTCAGTAAGTGATGACCATTTTTCTATTTTGCCAGGAAAACTTGGATCTCATTCGACATATCAGAGTCCACGCTATAAATTAAATGTCTTGTTATTTGATAAATGTATAGAATTAGTTGAGGTTGTTTCTAGCTTTGTAAATTTACATGGCAAAGGCTTTCCCTTAATATATAAACAATGAAGGTTTGGGGCGTAGTTTGTTCATGTACTTTCCAATATTATGAAGCGTGAGAGTTTCAGAATTAGTTAAGCTGAATCTGGGCTTGTGCTTGCATGTTTTTATTGACTAGAACGGTAGCACCAAAAGGTGTGCTTATTCCCCATTGAAGTGGGTGAAAATCGTGAGACCAGTCTTAAATTCCAGTTTAAGACAAAATGCTAGGTGATCTTTTCAATTTGCCTAAGTCTTGGCACTGGAGTTATTCAATACCGGCAGCAGGTAATTAAATAGGGCAGCTCGGTACACAAGCCATCTCACGTTCACGCAGGGTCCGGGAAGGGCCGCACCTCAAGGATGAGATCCTCAAGGGATGAGATGTAAATAGCCCACTGCAAGCATTAACGACTACTTCCACGGCTTGATCCTTTAATATTAAAACCAATCTTTTATTTTTTAAAGAATGTATCTTCAAGATTCTATCGTTGTCCATTTGGAAACAAATAAAGTTATGGGGTTATATTAAATGTTTCAACCGTCAAGAATTGCTGGCGCCAACTCTTCATATACAGCTGCAGGTGCTTAAACTATACTATCCTTAAGAATTTTTATTCAAAGAATTTGTGTGCCGACCTTACATTAGCCGACGTCCAGACGGTGCTTGCCTTTGGTGGTTGAAATTTGGGGATGGAGAAAGAGAAAAATCAAAGTTGAAATTTTCTACTATGAGAGATTAACTAAAATAGCCGCTCACCCTATGTATACTCGGTGTATATTATATGTATATTAGCTAGCAACTTTCATTGTCATAATTGTTGTGATTATACTTTTTTGAGCCGAGAGTATATCGGAAACAGTAAGGTAAGGTCTGTGTAAACACTACTCTCGCTAGATCTCACTCGTGGGATTAAATTGGGTATGTTGTTATTTTTGATATTAGCTAGCGACTGTAAATATTTTTAGCTGAGCGGCTAAATGTGCAACTTCCCCTATAATTTACGAGTAAAAAAAAAGGGGGAAATCCAACTCTTACTTTGACACAAGCCGGCATTTTGTAAGAGAATAAACTTTCTAACATTAAATTGATCAAATAGTCTTTCTAACACAGTAACCTCTTCAGAAATATATAATGTAAAAATTATACCTCTTCAGAAGTATTGCTGTTGCATCACATCCTTGCTAACTTTTACGTTGCTATGCTGCTTTTGGTTCGGACTATATATAAATACTAAAAGTTAATACTCATCTTTATTTGTCAACCAATCATTATTTTGGTTCGGATTATATATTTACATTCGCTTTGAACTTACTATTTCAAGAACATTATATCCGTTGTTCTTTGTCTATTACCACATATTTTTGGTGTAGTAGTTAGTGGTCCATTATGGTTAAGTTAGGAAAATTCAAACTTGAGAAATGTAGGTGAAAAAATCCAGCGCTTTAAAGTAAAAAATTTAGTACTAGTATTATTGAGGATACTTGGTTTGACTTGAGAGTGGAGTATAAATGTATAATATTAATTGGAGTGGTTTGCCCATTAAGTAAAAACTTTATATACAAAGAAGATATGCTTACTGACTCAACTTGCATGTGCGGTATTAGGTGGTTTGCAATATTTATATATATAGAAGGCAAGATAGAAAGGTCAGGTAAATTATTTCAATTTAGGTGTCAATTTCATATGATTTATTAAGTTGAATAATTATCAAGATTTGGTAAAAGTTTCCACATTGACAAGTTTCGTAATTGGTATGTAAATTGATCATGTCACGTTATCAGGACTCTTTCAAAGGGTTATGCCGCCAAGGGCTTTATCAGGACTATAAAGTGATTTTTAGAAATTAATCACCTTTCGGCATATAATTTTTCGAGTGGTAAGAAAATATATTGACACACTTTTTTCTTGGTTGGATATAAAGAAACTTTAAAGAGAGAATTTTCTGTCTGATATTGATTTACGAAAATTTATCTTTGACCTTTTGTACCACTTAGATTAAGAGGAATTTTCATAAAATACTATAGTTTAGAGCCTAGTAACTATAGTTTGCCTAATTATCATTCGTAGTTACTTTTTAATTATTATCATTTTAACAGCTTGTATCACTTGTATTCAAACGCGCAACGAATACAACCTGTACTAACTGTATTCGTTCGCGCAACGAATACAACATGTATCAACTGTAACCAAGGCGAAATACAAGGGTGTATACAAAGGATACAAACCTTTATCGACAATATACATGGGTGTATACAAACGATACAACTTGTATTGCGAAATACAGAAATACAGAAAAACAAAATGCGCTGGTTAAGAGTTGAATTCAAGACCTTTGCTAACTAGGCGGGCGCTCTAACCAACTAAGTTACGAGAGCTCGTTGCTCTCTTGTTTCAGTTCAAAACAATTAATTCTCTTGTTTCATGGATTTGCTATAAAATTCAAATATAGTTACGAATGATAAATTTGCTAAAAGTATAACTACGAATGATAGATATAATTGTATATATTTAATGTGTCGCGTAATTCTGTTCGGATAAGCCGGTTAATCACTGATGTGATTTTTTTTACACCATTGGTATGTATAGAAATGTCCTATTTTATTTTTGTGTTGCAGGCTAACTTTGTTACTTTCACTAATAATATTGCAAGCAATGGATGTAAGTGTATATAACTATTGCCAGTAACATATACGTAAAAATAAAAAGAAGGGTTACGTCTAAGATTCTCAAGCAGCATAACATGTCAGTAGGGGTGTACACGAGTCGATTTAGTTCGATATTTATCAAAATCAAACCAAACAGACTATATGGGTTTGGTTTTGTCGATTGTATCGGATTTTTTTACTTTTTTGTCATATGAGTATTATTTCAATCTTACTTTGTTAGAGCTATGAATTAAGTTTCGATAAGTTAATATATGTTTAATAAGAATTGAACAAATTGACAAATCTATTAAAATATTCTTATGAAAATTTTCTTTTGATAACACATGATAGTTATTTTCTTAGTTTAACATTAAATTTTCGTTGATGCATGCTTTCAAGCTTAATCGAATTTTAATAGTTAAACATAAAAATTAATATTAAACCTAAATAATAACATGTTATGTTTAATTTTAAAAATTACTGATAAAATACCATTTTAAATTGGAGAAAGATATAAGAGTTGTTTAATATATCTTGATATATGAATATAGAAGAATTAAGAGATTGAGACATTTTAATAATACTTGATAAGAAAGTGATAATACACGTTACAATCAAGCATTAATTAAAGTAAATAAAAATATATGCACTTTATAGTTCTATTAAATGTTACACCCATGGAAGAATCACGAATAATATTAGATATTTTTTTAAAGAAAATTATACATAAAGCTTTAAAAGTATATATAAAAAGTATATATAAATATTATATATTTATATGTCGGTTTAGTTAAAAATTTTTTTATCGGTTTGAACATCCCTACTTAGAACACCAGTAATCTTGGCGACATCAAGTGCGAGATCTTCTGTGACGAGTCCCCATAACTGCCGAGAATTTCTTGGCATTATTATGTGCAAGCGACTATAATAATGGGACCAAATCTCTTGAATAGGCGTTTGGATATTATTTTGGTTAAAATTAAAAAGAAGGAAAGAAGAAGGAAAAAGAGTATTTGAAGCTAAAATTAAAAAGGGTATTTGGGGTTTCAAGTTCTTAGATATCATGGATAAAGACAACCAACATATGAGGTAGGATAATTGGAATTTCTTCTCCCTTAATCAGAAGTTTTGAATTTGAATTCTGAAAATAGAGAATTTCTTAGTATAAGTGTTGTACCCCATTAGTGGACGCGATGCAAATTTGCATTAACCGTACTACATAGTGAAATCGAGAAAAAAAGATTCGAATAAGAGTAGTGACAGGGACAAGCGAAGTTGTGATAATCGATAATGTCAAAGCTCAAGTTCATGAAATATATTGTTCGCTTTGATCCAATAGATCTTAAAGATTTGTTCCATTGGTTATACTACCATCGAGCCTAAAAGCGTGCGTAACATGTAAAACTCTTCAGTTTCATCTCTTATTTCAATGTGGATTCACTTAAGATGTCCTGTGCACCCTTTCTTTAAAAGTTTGTCAACCCAGAACACGACCTGTTTGTTAATCATCCCTACCAAGATCATCAAGCTCAATGGAGTTTACCATATATGGAACTGCCTATTCACAGATGAACTTTTGATTCAATTTTGTTGAACTTTACAACTAATTAATTTACAGGAAGTAGAAACATCTAGTATGGGAGAAAAGATCATTGCTTTTACTGCATTAGCTGCAATAGAACTCGTATCTTCATGATGCTACTCGCAGAATCAATTTTGAGGTGGATCCAGGATTTGGAGGTTACCGGTGCCAAGTTGGTCAATTTGATCAAATTTAGCCTTCGATTTGGATAATTCATCTTTTCGATTTATACATACAAAATTCGATCAAACGAAAAAAATGTAATATTTGAGTACTTGGCACAAAGCATAATAAAACTTCCACTAATTTATATCTATACTATATTAAAAGCACGAATACCCTTAGCGAAATGTCGTTGTCTTTTTTATCCTTCTAAAACAGAGTTCACGTTAGACAACATAGACATTTAATTATTTTTCTAATGTCTAGGAATGAATATTTATTAATTTATTTTCCTAATATATAGGAATAGTCATTTATTTTTTTCCTAATCATAAATTCTTTCCCTTTTCTGAATTGTATAGGCAAACACATATACGGAATACCATTTATTATACATATATATNTTACGGCGAAGCTTGCGGATGGCGTATCACTGCGAATCTACTACATAGATAAGCCAAACTTGTCGATTTAAAAGATTATTGACAATGATGCCACTTAAATGCCAACCACAGCTAATTTTATGTCATTAAACAAAGCTTCAATTTCCAATGAGTTAATGGTAATTCAATCATTAATTTTCAAGTTTAGTTTTCAGTTTTATAGTCCTTTGTCTATTGGCTCTCTAAGGTACTCTACGGTTTCAAGTCACAAAAACATACATGAACATCTTCTTCTTCCTTTTTTTTTTTTTTTTTTTT